TAACTGATGAGTCTATTTCCTCTATTGTATCTTCAGCGCTTGAGATTCTTTCTTCTCTTTCTTGTATTCTGTTGTTCATGCTTGCATTTGTGGTTCCTGATCTTTTTCTCATGATTTCTGTTTCTGTAATTCCTTCAACTTGTGTTTTCTTTATTTTTTTCTATCTCAGTTTTCAAGTCCTGAATAGTTTCTTTTATATGTTTGAGTTCTTTTTCTTGGTTTTCTTTAAGTGATTTGCTCATATCTTCCAATTTTTTTGTTTGTTTTTTTCCTCCATTTCTTTAAGGTAATTTTTCATTTCATCTTTAAGAATTTTAAACATTCTCTTGAGGTTATTTTTTAGATAATTTTCTTCTGGTTCATCCATATTTGGTTGTTCAGGTCTTGCTTTTGTAGGGTCTTTAGGTTTTACTGGTGTTGTGTTGCTCTTTGTGGTGTAGCATGTGATCTTACCTTTTCTACTCATCTTTTCCTCTAATAGGTGTGGTTGGGGCTGTCTGAGATTCTGTTGAATAATCTTCTAGGTGCCAGTGAATCCAAAGCTCAGATGGTTGTTCCTCATGGTACAGTCAGTGTCACAGTTCTAATTACCCTGTTGGTTATTCCTGTTCCTGGAGGTAGCTCAGTGCCCTGTGCTTTTATCTGCTCTCTTGGTGTTTGCTGTTTCAGGCGTACTTTGGCCTAGGCTGCTGGCTTTGATTTGTTTCTGTAAATCTTGGTCTGGGTCTCCTCCTGCAGAAGTCCCTGGCTTGGGGTTGGACCTGTTGTGGTGGAGATCGCTGACTCTGGATCTGGTGTCACCAGCTCAATCCTGATCCGCCCATGTCCCAGGACTGGGTTTGCTCCTGGCTTCAGCTCCTGGTGGAGCTTGTTCTCTCTGTGTCTTAGGTAACTGGTTCAGTCCCACTCCAGTTCCGGTGGAGATTGCAGACTCTGAGTCAGGTCATTGGCTCAATCCTGGTCTGCCAGTGTCTTAGGACTGGGTTGGCTCCCAGGGCTGGATTTTCTCCTGGCTTCTGCTCCCAGTGGAGCTTTGGTCATGGTGTTTCATCGCAGCAGTAGAAACCCTAAGACAGCTGTCAAGCTTCCCCCACCCTCAGAAAGGTATAAGAACCCTCACTTCTTCTGCATGCCCAGATTCCTCCCTGGAGAGTCACTGTCATGATGTCTAGCTCTGGTTCTGAGGCCTGAACTCTCCATTGAGCCCTCATCATGATACTGTCTGTCTGTCTTTCCATGGCATTAATAACTCTTCTAATAAACTCCTTAGCCCAGCAATCCATTTCAGTGTCCCCTGGTCCTTTGGTTCTTTTTTTATGTGTATGCTTCGTACCTTCACGTGTTTATGTGTGTCATGTACATCGGATCCCCTGTAGGTGGAGTTACAAGTGATTGTGAGCTGACAGGCGAGTGCTAGGTATTGAACCCGGGTCCTCTGCAAGAGTGGTAAGCAGCCTCTCCAGCCCCACCTCTCCAGCCCCAGTTCTCCTTGGTTCTTACTCATTCACCGAGCAGATAAACAAAACCTGGGCTCTGGGATGTGGCAATGAACAAAACAGCTGGAGCTTATATCCAACAGGCAGGAGGTGATGCCAGCTCCATCTCAGGCACTGTTGGGCATGTTTGCAGTGCCTAGCTTCTTCATATGTATGAAATCCCGCAGTCCAGATGTAAGTTACCAGATGTTCCCAAAGCATCCTCCATGCATTTCTTAGGTAACATGTTCCGATGAGGCTAGGACAGCTCTTCAGCTTTGACAGAGAAGTTCTTGACAAACTAGAACTGCTCTAGTGGGAGAAAATGTGTGCCCCTCCATTGACGATGAAATGTTAGAGACAATGAACTCCAAAGAATTAAAGCTTCCCCAGGCATCTCATGCTGGGGGAAGGGAAAGGCTGAAGCCGGATAGCAGCCAGAGAGACTTGAGCTTGCCTCCGAGGAGAGATGGCACACATTTCTGCAGCCTGCTGGATCACCTCATAGGAGAGACGGAGCCCAGACGGTGATGTGGGTGGGATCACACCCTGACCAGGACTGTTTAGCTTTGCAAACCACATACCGTCTATTAAACCCAGGCTCAGGTCAGACCCTGAAGATGGACTTGGGGGTCACTGGACCCCTTTGCTGTTCCTCTTCCCAATGAGGCCACATTGAATAAACCTCCGCATTTCACAATGACTTTTTTCAGTTTTAAAAAAGCTTTGTTTGGGGTGCATGGAATATGTGCTCAGACATCGGTTCCCTAGCTGGAGTTATGGGCAGTTATGAGCTCCAAACCAACCTGCCAGACACGGGCACTGGGAGCCAAACTCAGGCCCTCTTGAATAGCAGTCCGTGCTCTAGCCACTGAACCATCGCTCCAGCTCCATGGCTTGTATCGTTTAATCGGTGTGTTGAGGAGGGGTGGCTGAGCATAGCTCTCTGAAACTCCAGGAATGACATGGCATGGGGGCACAGAGGTGCACACCGAGGGAAATTAACTAATCCTTTGCTACTATTGGCAGCTGGTGGTACTGCTAGTCCATGGACAGCAGGTGGCGCTAGAGCACAGCCTCCTTATGCTAACCAATTCCTCTCGCTTGGCTTGTTCTTCTCCAGCTTCCAGTTAACATGTAAGGAATCGGAAGCAGCAAACAGTTAAATCAGTTATGTCAAGTTTATAACTAAAAAAGGTCTATCTGCTGCTTAGTTTATTATACTAGTAAGAATTATTCTTTCTGTGCAAAAGGAACCTCCAGATTACATAAAGACATCAGGCAGCTGGGTGGGCAGGCAGGACAGACGGTCCCTCTGTCTCCATTTGCCCCATGTCCAACTGACGATGGCCTCCTGAAACTCAGGGCTTATCTTAGGCAAGATGTACATGGCACAGCAGGGCCAGGGCAGGTTTGTTGTAAGGAGCGGCAGGCTACATTCCTGGCGCCCAGCCGCCCGCACGGCTAGCTTTACCCGAAATAATTACACGGAAACTGTATTCTTTTGAACACTGCCTGGCCCATTAGTTCTAGCCTCTTATTGGCTAGCTCTTACATATTGATCTAACCCATTTTTAATATTTTGTGTAGCACCACGAGCTGGCTTACCAGGAAAGATCTTAACCTGCGTCTGTCTGGAGTGGGAGAATCATGGCAACTCCTGACTCAGCTTCTTTCTCCCAGCATTCTGTTCTGTTTACTCCACCCACTTAAGGGTTGGCCTATCAAATGGGCCAAGGCAGTTTCTTTATTAATTAACCAATGAAAGCAAGAGATTAGAAAGAAATCACTCCCACATCACAGGTTCTTGGCCATGTCCCTTCAGGAAGCTTGGCATGATTCAAGATACCAAAGTGAATCTCGCTCCAGAAGCATCTGTGTGGGGGCAGAGAGGGAAATGCCAGAAGCTTACAGCCTGGTAAAATGTCCAGGGAATTCCCCCACCCCCGCTCCCGAACTGCAGAGTTACTGACTTGCCAGACATAGCACGGTGCCTTCCCACAGGGCTGGGGTTCCCATCAGAGAAGCCAGGAGCCAGTGTGAAGAGAATGGTGGCCTTGCTAGCCAATACAGGCGATGCGGTGAGAGCTGACTTCAGTGACATCCTACTCTAAGATTCCAGCTTGGCAGCCTCTTGTCATAACAATAATTATTTTTATTTTTTCTTAAACCTTTTTTACTTCTGAGATATTGTCTTCTGCATCCCCAACTGAATTTAAATGCCTTTAATCTCAGTGCCCTGGAGGCACAGTGAGTTCCAGGCCAGCCCGGGCTAGTGTAGAGGGACCCTCTCTCACACTCACCACCCCCAAAAAGAAGTATTACTGGGCAGAAAGAGGATTTCATGGTAACAAAAGAAGCTATTGCCGGGCGGAGGTGTTGAACACCTTTAATCCCAGCACTCAGGAGGCAGAGGCAGGCAGATCTCTGTGCGTTTGAGGCCAGCCTGGTCTACTCTAGAGTGAGTTCCAGGACAGGCTCCAAAGCCACAAAGAAATCCTATCTCGAAAAACAAACAACAAACAAAAGCTATTTGATTAAAATTCAAGGAGAGCAGTCGACAACAGCTTCAAAATATACAGCAAAAGTAAAATGAAAAGTGAATAAGCCATAATTAAAGTCGGTTGCTCTGCTGTGCCTCTCCTCGTGGCTCACAAACTAAACAAACACGAAGAATGCGGCCTGTCAGGGTAGCTCGACAGGCAAAGGGGCCAGAGTTCGATCCCTGAGACACGTGGTTCAAGGAGAGTGTCAACTCTTGTCCTCTGTTAATAACTTTTTTAATTAAAGTTTTTTAAAAGATTTATTTATTATATATACAGTGTTCTGTCTGCATGTTGTGATTTAAATGAGAATGGCCCCCAAAGGCGCATATGACTGCATGCTTAGTCCCCAGTTGGTGATCTGTTTTGAAAGGATTAGGAGGTTGGCCTTGTTGTGTCACTGAGGTATCAAAACCCCACGCCCCATGCCCAGTTCTCTCTCCCCATCACCATGCCTCCCTGCCTGCCACCCTGCCCCCTCCATGATGGTCGTGGACCAACCCTCTGAAACTATAAGTGACTCCCAATAAAACACTTTCTTTTATAAGTTGCCTTGGTATGGTATCTCTTCACAGCGACAGAACAGTGGCTAAGATGGAGGTGGAAGACAGTTTCTCAGACCTGCCTAGGATCAAACTTAAAATGCATAAAATTCACCCCCAAAACACAGTGCTCAAAGAGAACTCTGTGCCACTAAGTGAATATTTAGATAATAGATGATTTGTTTCCAGGGAGCCCAAAGGAAAGAGATGAGATGAAAATCAATGTGCAGAGGTTAGTAGGAAGTCAGCATGGCCAAGGCTGGTTACCTGCAAAGATAAAACTACTGATTAATACCATAAAACCCATGTAGGAGAGAGAGGCAAACCCACAAACCATCTGTATCAGAACCAGAAAGGGACAGCCTCATACTAAAATAGATGTTCAACAAAATTAATTGTGCAGATTTCATGTTCTTGTATTTGTGAACTTAAAAAGAACAGCAAAATTTCTTACAAATCAAAAGCAGGTAGAAAAGCTGAATTGTAGGCAGAGGCTGCTTGTTCATTCCTGCCCACCCAGATCCAGAATGAGCACACACAAACTATATCAATTACAGCACTGCTTAGTCAATAGCTTAGGCATATTTCCGGCTAAATCTTATATTTTAAATTAACCCATTGCTATTAATCTGTGTATCACTACATGGTTGTGGCCTGCCAGCAAGGTTCCATCAGGCATCTGTCTCCTGCAGCGGCTATGTGGCATCTCCCTGACTCCGCCTACTACTCTACATCTCTGTTCGGATTTTCCACCTGGCATTACTCTGTAAAGCCATTGACAAAAGCAGCTTCTTTATTGACCAATGACAATAAAACATATTCACAGAATACAGAGGGGAATCCCACATCACTAAATGTCTCTGTGGGGTATATTAAATGCAAATCTTTGTACAGAAGTACCTTGGATGGGTTTATTAATAAATTGCATCAAACCTACAAAGAGAAATTAATGCCACTTTTTTTTTTTACACAAACCATTTCAGAGAATAGATTTTAAAAGGAACATTTCTCAATGCATTTTAAGAAATCAAGCCAGGTTAGATATATGGGAATGAGAAAAATTATAAAATATTGTCTCTCATGAACACAACACACACACACAAATCCCAAAACTATGATGTGGTGGCACACACCTTTAATCCCAGCACTCAGGAGGCAGAGGCAGGCAGATCTCAGAGAGTTCCAGGCCAGCCTGATCTACAAAACGAGTTCCAGCTGCGCCGTTGAACAGAGAAACCCTGTCTCGAAAAAACAAACAAAAAAGGATGGCACTTGCATTTAGCAGGCGGAGACAGAAGAATTGAGAGTTCAAAGCCAGGCTGGGCTGCAAAGTGCGACTCTGTCTCGGTAAACCAGGGGAAGTGAGAGGAGGGGAAGCGGGGAGAGGGGGACAGATTGGGAGTAGGAAGAGTGGCCGAGGCACGACCTGTGCACGCCCTCCTACAAAATGTAGTCCAGGGTGGAGGAGTGAGAAGAGCGCGTATCCCACGCCCCCGCAGGCATCTGTCTCCCTATGGAAGAGTGCGTATCCCATGCCCCCACCGGCATCTGTTTCCCTAGGTAGAGGAAGAGGTGGCTGCAACCTTTTGGAAACACGTTCGCGAGGTATTTCTTGAACTTCTCGCTTATGAAAGCATAGATGACGGGGTTCACACAGCAGTGTGTGAAAGAGATGACCTCCGTGACGTGGGTAGCCAGAGCCAGCTTCTGGCTCATGGCACATCCATCAAAGACATGCAAGTCGTGCAGGGACGTGAGGAAGAGGACCACGTTGAAGGGGACCCAGAATAGCAAAGACGCGATGACTACAGTGAGCACCAGCTTGACGGCCCTGGTCCGGTTGTGGTTCTGGCAGCCCCGCAGCTGCTGCAGGATCCTGATGTAGCAGAAGAGAAGGATGGTGAAGGGGAGCAGCAGGCCCAAGGTATTCACTTCAAAGTGAGCAGACAGCTTCCACTTCAAAGACTGGTTGTCGTAAAACGGGAAGCACTGTAGAATACCATCCTCAGCAGCCACTTGATAAAACACCAGCAGCGGAATGGTGGCCAAGACGGCCGTCAGCCACACCGCCAGGCTCAGGGCCGTGCCCACTCGGGCCGTCCTCACTTTGAGGGCATAGACAGCGTGGACAATAGCCAGGTACCTGTCCACGCTCATGAGGGTGATGAAGAACATGCTGCTGAAAAAGCCCATATAGTAAAAGCCGGAGACCACTTTACACATGGCAGTCCCAAACACCCACTGGTCCAGCAGGTAGTGAGTCTGGAACGGGAACGAGAAGACAAAGAGCAGGTCCGAAACGGCCAGGTTCAGGAGGTAGATGTCCGTGATACTCCTCAGCTTCTTGTAGGCCACAAGGACCAGGATGACCAGGCTGTTTCCCAGAAGGCCCAGTACAAACAAGATGCAGTAGAAGAGGGCAAGTGGCAGCCTGCTGCCCCTGAGGATGAGCTCCGTGTCACAGGGCATGGCCAAGTCGTCAAGGTAGTACTCCGTCGTGGTCACATTGGGCTCCTGCGTGTAATCCATTGAGGCAGGAGACTGGCCAAAGAGGAGTATGAGAGATGCTGAGGATTGCATGGACACACTGGAGCCCTTAAGCCCCTCCCCTCGCCCCTTGGGGCCCAATATCAGGTGTTAGTGGGCACACGTGCTCTACCACCAGGGTGTGGTGTATTCTCCCTAGGTTTTGCTTCCTTTATACAGGGTACGTGGTTTGGGAACCTACTACTTAGCCCAGGCTGGCCTCATGCCTCAGCCCCCTGGTGCTGATATAGATCTATCTGTACCATGTACCACCTTGTGTGGCTCCTCTTTCCCTTCCTCTTTCTCCCTCCCTCCCTCCTTATTTTAATTAACTAATTTTTATATTTTTGAGATAGAATCTCATTATGTAGCACCGGCTGCCCTAGAACTTACTATGTAGACCAGGCTGGCCTCAAACTCACAAAGATTCACCTGCCTCTGCTTCCCAAGTGTTGGGATTGAAGGCGTGTGCCACTATGCCTAGCTTCTCTTTCATTTTATGTATCCATAAACAATATACAGGTAGGATATAGTGGTGCATGTCTATAATCCCAGCATTTAGGAGGCAGAAGCAGGTGGATCTCTGTGTTCAAGGCTAGCCTGGTCTACAGAGTTCCAGGACAACCAGGGCTACAGAGAGGAACCCTTTCTCAAACAAGCAAAATACCTAGGTATATGCAACATATAATATTTATGTATTAATTCACAAGTAACATAAATGATGATTCATATTTTGCTTTAGATATATCCCATGATATTCATGAATTCATGATATTCTTTCATTGCTTCCATAACCCCCAGAAAAAATTTAAAATGCAATAGAAAAAAAATGATCTCAACTACACTAAAAATGAAAAGCATCAGGTTTTCCAGAAAGTAAACCTGATAAAGGCTTTATCATCCAGTCATATTAGAAATGCTATATCATCCCCTCATATCAAAAAGGCTATTTGTCATCCAGTCATATCAGAAAGACTATATATCATCCAGTCATATCAAAAACTAGGGCCTAGGAAGAGATAGCTCAGTAAGATGCTTGTCGAGGAAGGATGAAGACCCCAATTCAAACCCCAAAACTCACATGCGGTGGCGTGTTCCTGCAATCCCTGTGCTGGAGGCAGAGACAGGCAGCTCTCTGGGGCTCCGGCCAACCCGGCCTGCTTGGTGAGCACGAAGCTGAGAGACTCTGTCTCAAGAAACACAGCAGAGAACACCTGAAGGCTGGCACCGAGGTTGACCCCTGACTTGTACAGACATACATGCATGCATATGTACACACAAAAAATGAAATAATAGAGAATAAAAACTTACGGGGCCTGAGGGTGCTACTCACTGGTAGAATGCATGCTTAGCATGCACAACACCATCCTCAACACTCCCCCCCCCACACACAAGTTCTGAAACTTCACTGAGAGACATACAAGATGGTGTGACGGAAAGGAAGCTTTCGAGGTAAAGGCTGGTCCCCAGGAGAGCTCATCCTTGCTTAGTTTCCCCTCCTGCGAAGCTTTCCCTCCCTCCTGTATTCTGGAGAGAGCAAGGGGCAGGCCCGTCCTGTCAGCCAGCAAGATACACCCAAGCTCAGGCTTTGGAGACATTCAGTTTCTTTTTTAGAAGTTAGCCTTCTCCTGACCTCTCTGTGAGGAGATGAAAGCACCCCTGAATCGCCTTGGCGCCCCAACCCCAGGATGCTCCTTAGCAGGTACCTGAGCAGAGCCTTTGTTCTGAGGTTGTCACAGCTGCCTGCTCTCCTCCGCCTGCTGCTGCATGTCTGCCGACCTGAGGCTTCTCTTTCTCAGTGGTTCATAAGTCAATCTGAAGTTAACGTGACAACTACCTCTGCTTTTTGATAGTCCTGCCCCGCCCCCAGGGGCTTTTTTGAAGGCACGAACAAGGCCACACCAGTTTGGAGTTATGATTAATAGGGTGTTATTTATTTAAAGGGGAAAACTTACAGATCACCGTCCCAGACAACAGCCATCTGCACAACCAGGAAGGGAGTCTAGTCTCCAGCGGAGCAGGAAGTGAAGAGAGCGAGCAGAGGAAATAGCCGCTTTTTTAAAGGGAGAGAGACCACGCCCCAATGGGCTGGTATCACAGCAGCTATTGGTTGGAGGGGCGGAAGGACCTCCCGCAACACC